ATATTTGAGATAAATCATCAAGTGTTCCATGTTTACTTGGTGATTTATCAAACACTTTAATCATTCATATTGCATTCATTTGCATTGATCGGTGACTCATACGGTTGAGGGCACCAAGACCGTGGTGGCGGTTTTCCTCTGGTGAGCTTGAAGCAATCGTGGCCAGTATTGCGTTCAACATAAGGAGTGTCGAAGATCATCCCGTGACAGAAGTTGAGTTATAAAGAAGTCGGTAAACATTATCTAGAATGTGTCTAGGATAAGTGTGTGAGTACTTCTTGTAATCATCTTTCTATAGTGGATTTGTGTTGGACTGAGGAGTCCCGTGGATTTTCCCTAGAGGTGGGGTTTTACCACGTAAAATAATTCTCTGCGTGTTCTTTTATTTTATGCCCAGCACGTTACAGGATTGATAAGCCATATCAATCCTGCTACCGAAGTTTATTTTTTATTTATTTGATTAGAATCTTAAATTGGCCTATTCACCCTCCTCTAGGCATTTTGAGTCATCCTGCAGGTATTTTCAATAAGCATTATTGTTACCTACGTAAACAGCATATTCTTTGTCATCGAAACCCTACCTTATCGTTTCGGATCGCGTTTGAGGCAATAGATATTCATAACAAGGACCACGCATATGTATGTATCATGCATGTGGAAATTGAAAGAAATTTTGGCAGTGGGAATTAATATTGAATCGAACGGAGTTGTTTGATTAAACAAAATTTATTTAAATCAACCAGGAAGTCCATGGTCCGATTATTTAATTAATACAACAAAAAAGTCCATGGTCCGACGGTGGATTAATTCTAGCTAGAAGCTTACAAGTCATGCATATATCCATCAATCATTTGAGGAGGAACATCTTGAACCAATAGGCAGAGTACTTGAGAGTTCTTTTGAATTTGTTTTTGTAATCGACATAAGTGAGTCCAAATCGAACAGTGTAGCCTGAGTTCCATTCATACACATCCGCAAATGCCCATGCAAAGTATCCCTTCACTTTAACGCCCTCTCTACACATATAGATTAAATTAGAAATTAATTATTTGATTTCATGGAAATTATATATATGTATATGTATGTATATCCTTGTACTCACTTGATGGCTTCTGAAAGATATGAAAGATGGAGATAATGGTATCTTATCCTTGTACTATCCTTGAGGACAGTCTTAATAGGCAGGGAGCTATTATTTGCATCACCAACACCTTCAACATGCAAAGTTCAATATATGAACAACAACAAAATGATCATACTAATTTATAAAATTAATTACAAAATTAGTTGTAGGTCTTAGTACCGTTTTCAGTAATGTAAATCTCCGGATCGTTGTACTTTTCCTTTATATGTAGCATAAGCTCTCGAATTCCCTTTGGGTAGATGTGTAGCCAGCTCAAAGCAGTCTGCAAATTAAACCAATATCAACTATCAGTAACTATATACACACACACACACATATAGATTAATTTTCCATTCTCACATGAGCTAATTCTCAAGTAACATTTTATGTTCAGGGTTCTATAATCACTACAAGGAAACCTATTTCTGCCGACGATATCAGTTGCGACGAATGGAGACGCTCAAATGAGAGAGAGAGAGAGAGAGAGAGTACCGGTGTACCCAAAGGAACCCCATTTTTGTCCGCTGTTGCAAAAGAGTAAATTACAAAATTAGCAGAGGACACATGAATACTATATAACAATGATGTTGAGTTGAGCATACATACTAGAGAGAGAGATATCCATGTCTCCATAGAAACTTTGGTTAACAGCAGAAGTGGCAGCGGAGAGTGAGGGAGGATCTGCATAACTAGCTGTGTAATAATTGACACCAAGGAAATCTATAGATCCTTTTAGCAGTTTTGATTCTGCTACGCTGAATTTAGGCAAACGATCTCCCACTGAAGATCTCATGCTTTGGGGATACGTACCGAATGTAACAGGATGAGTAAACCTATAATACAAATTCAACTTCAAATTAAGACTACTCATTATTCTAGATAACTATTTTTTTTATAATTAATTGCTCACCATCCTAATATAAAATCAAGAGCCTTAGAGGCTGCCCTCTTGCTTGCAGCTGTTCCCGACTTTGGTAAATACCAGAATGTCACAACGGAAATCCCAATTTGTCCTTTCTGAAAGGCCTGCATGCATGAACTCAAATGTAAAATCATATTTTGTTATCACTGAATTTAGAACTATAATTACTATTATTTCTACTTTAAATAATTATGTATTTGCTTGTATAGTATAGATGAATCATTCTTTACACGTAGTTAACGAGTCAAGTATTTTGCAGATATGGACTTAACTAAGTTAGCTAAAACATATGCTCAATGGACAAAAAAAGGAGTGAAAGTAATCGCTATCCTTTATTTTATTTTTTTCCATTAAAAGAAAGAAAGAGAAGAGTGATATAAGCGCTGAAAAGGTGAGGATGAAATCCTATCCTATCAAAGGAAGAGAGAGGTGAGGACGAAATCCTATCCTATTAATCCTAGCAAAGAACAGTAAAGGTTCACATGAATGGGTCCTAAACCTTTTTGTTTATGAATTTATTTATCTTTTATCAATTCAACATGTAATATTTTAAAAATAGTTTTGAAATAATCAAAGCCACGTTTTATTGAAACTTGAAAAGCAAATAATAAAAATATAATAGGGAAATGAGGTATTTTCTTAATGTGCCAACCTGATACTTGTCCCTGTATAATTTCACAGCATATGCATGAGCTAGTAGTAGATGATGACCCACAATGTAAGGCTCAGTGGCGGAGTTGCCGGCAGTGCAGTTTCCGACATAGCTCGAACATCGACCCGGTGCATAAGTGCCACCGTTGTACCCATTAACACAATATGTTACAGGCTCATTCAATGTCACCCAATACTTGACCCGGTCACCAAATG